TTTAGATACCAGTCCTCGCGCGATCAGTCAGTAGATTAAGCATGATTGTTAATTCAAGGCCATTTGAGAAATAAGGATAATTGTTAATCTAAGCGCGAGACTGTGTTGCCGGGACCTTTAGTAGTGTAGAGAATTGCCCACCAATCGCCAAAAATCTATCTATCTATCCAAGGGAATTCGGGATACACTCAAGATATGCACAAGAAGTCAGAAAAGTGAATTTCTACGATACTTAAAGCTATAACAAATACAATCGTAATATCATTCAAAAACCGTTATGGTTGTCCTGGCGACCTTGATTTATCCCAAACTCTTGCCTTGTTTGTCACAAATTATATTAGAGTACAAACACTACAAAATGCGTGCAACACTACAAAATTGTGCTAATTAAACAATTTATAAAATTTTTGATATATAACGCGCGCTCTGATTGGATGACGACCGTGTTTATATCAGAGGACAGAGACACGGCTTACCGGCAAAMTKTKCTTTTCGCTCGAAAAATTTCATAAAAGAAATATAAAACGGCCGCTTGTGTCTCTGTCCTCTGATATAAACACGGTGGGAGTTGAAAAACACTCGAGAAGCAAGAGAAACACTCGCTACGCTCGTGTTCCTAACCTTGCTTCTCTCGTGTTTTTCGAACTCCCACCGTGTTTATATCAGAGGACAGAGACACGCGCGCCGTTTTATATTTCTTAAATATAGAAAACAATAGAATTAGAAGTATTTAGCAGTATTATGTTGCACACAGTTTTCAGGGGCGGATCCAGGATTTTTGGGAGGGGGGTGACTTTGATGAAAAATAAACATTCAACTCATCAAAAAGGGGGATGATCACCCTTGTCACCGCCCCTAAATCCGCGCCTGAGTTTTAGTGTTTGCATTCTATTCTAGTGCGCATAATAATTATTCCTCAAACAATATTGCTCTACAATTCTAAAACGTTTGTCAAACTATGGTATTTTTTATCGTCTAAAAGGATATACATGTCTTGCAAGTAAAAAAAATGATGATGATGCAAACACTTGGATCCAGCACAGGAAGACCATTTGATCTTGGTTTGATATTTGCTATAAAAGTATATACATGCATTTGATAGAGAGCTAAGCTTTGCAGCTTGAAGGTAGTCTCTATAGATAGTGCTGCTCCGTGCGGGTTTAAACACAAAATCCATTTTCTTTGTCTCTCCAATTATCTATTTTTTTTTTTTTTTTTTTTAATTTATTTGTTTTGATTTGCTAGAAACAGTATTCGATCGTCTTAAAATAAACAAAAATTATCATTGAATTGACACGGCTCAAAAACCGCTGATTGGTCAATCCAAAATTGTAATTGCTCATGCGCACTTGCTTTTTCCGCTGAAATTGTGCGGGCTCTATTGAAAAAAATGGCGGTCGAAGGAGAGTGTTTTATGTTTGTGACAAAGGAAAATGGGCATAAGAACGTCTTGTTCAATCGTAATTTGACAGTTTTATTAAAGGAATAGATGGAAACTACTTCTTGCTTCATTTTAGAGAAGGAATCCGATTTAAGAACGAAATAGAAAGACCACTACATGGAAGCGAAAGGCGGCCGATCACGAGTATGCAACTGAGTTAACTAATTTTCTTTTGAAAGCTGTATTACAGTCCAGATCTTCGTTTGTAAATACGTTTTCCGTTTCTTCAAAAGTTGGWAATTGCTAAAGAAATCTTTTTTAAGGTTGGATTCGAGTAGCGGTTTTTTTTTAGTTTTTAAAATCTCTACTATTTTCTGGATAATTCTTGTTCGTTTCAAATTAGTTCAATGATGCTTTTAAATGACAAAAACTAGTGCTATTGATGGTAATATTTGAAATTTATTTTGCCAAGACCTATGAAAGTCACACCTGAATGACAAACTGAAGAAGTTTAAAGTGACATAATTTACTGTCTCATGTCACTGTCGACAAGATTCCATGTCTGAGAATACAATCAAGATTTCATGAAATAAGTGGATTAAAAAAATTAACATGGTTTCAAGTATTGCAAGATTCATTCAACAGATCATCATGCTTGTATATACAAAAATATGACCAGAAAGGTAAAACATTATCAAGACATTGAATTTGGAAACTTTGGATTTGTCAAAGTGTATTCTCAATATTATTATGACTGTTGTAGCTGCTGCTATGCCAAATAGCAATGCTGGAACAAACTGTTTTTTGAATTATTGATTTATTTTCTGTAGTGTCTTGCACTTAGAGCAGAGTCACTTAAACCATGAAATAGAAACTAAATACTTACTATAGTAACTAATAGGCACTATTTAGACACTATCACTGAACCAGAACAGTACAAAGAGATTACTTTTATTGTTATAGCGGTCTCTTGGGTATTGCTTGTTGGATCAAATAAACTATTCTGGTTCAGTGCTAATGACTATTAGGAACTGATAGTGCCTAAGTACTTGTTAGTTCTTATTTCATGGCTCAAGTGACTCTGCTCTATAATAGAAGTGTAAACTAAAAAACTTGTAAATGTGTGGATCATATTATTGTTGGCTCTTACTAATAATGAAAATGTTCTTTTCTAAACAATGATGAGAAACATGAAATGAAATTATAAGTACATATGAAAATTGCATTSTCAAAATCAAGAACATGACCAACTTGGCTAATAAAATTGTTTGATGGAGTGCTATGACTATACATGAGAGATAGAGAGCTAACAAAATGGTTGCTGTTGTTGGGCTGTCTAAATTTTCATCAACCCTAAAACTGCACATCACAGGCTATTTCATATTTAATGCATATACTCTCATTGATTTTGACATGATTTTGATGTATTTAAACTATTACACTGGATACACTTTATCCATAGCAGTGTAAACAATTGAAAACGAAGGAATTCGCATAATTTAGCACTATCCTGTACTATTTGAGTTTCATAAATTAATGAAGTGCCTCGGCTCTAAAGCAATTTTATTTAATCAGTGAAATAAAAACTAAATAGTTCTTATCAATTAGTCACTATTTTGTACATGATAGCAATCAACTTATAGTTCAATACTCGGGAGACATTAAATACACAAGAATCAAGCATTTCATTAATTTTTCATTGATATCACAGTACAAATGAAATAAATTAAGAATATATGACTTAATTCAATTATTGTGTATATGTGGATTTCAATGTCTCCTGAGCTACAAGTTGATTTGGCTACAAGTTGATTTGCTTGAGTGAAATATCATCTATTTACATACAAAATATTTACTAATTGTTATGAAATATTTAGTTTTTATTTCACAGATAATATGAATTGCTCTAATATATGTTGTCATATTCCAAACTTAATAATTTTGCTATAAATATATGCAAGTACTGTAGGGAATTAAGTGAAGTCAAAAAAACCTGTGAAATAGATAKTACATGAATACACTAGCTAGCATGCTTTTACATGCAATTGCATTGTTTTCTTTTGTGTSTATTTGACTACTTTGTTTCACTGGTTTAATGCTTCACTCTACATWTCSCACCAAMWAACATTAAATACMCAATAATAATAAATTACAAAAATTAAAATGAAGCATCAACACTGCATCATTTTTTTTTCTTGTACTGTTTATGGCTTTTCTGGAAGTGTTAGGATAACAACCCTGACAATAGTAATCAGAGGGAGATTTATATTAGGCAAACACAAATTATCAAAAATTATAGACACAACAGAGTTTCATGGTTTAAGTGATGTTATTTGATATAATACATTAAAGCCAGCATCCACACTGTGATAGCAATAYKATTTTTGCACTACATGTGTCTACATTTGTTTTTGTTAGGTTGCATCCTCAAGTGTTAATTCTCTATCTTTAAATCTGAATGTGAACACTTTTTCCAGTAAATTTACATGAAAATGCTCCATTGAGTGTATGTGGATATGAACAAAATATCCATTCTTTGTTAATTGGGTCTATTATTTATATCTTAATGAAGTATCTTAGGGGAAGAATGGTGGGAAACATGCAAGAAGTTTTACAGTACAGAAATGAACTAGACATTGTTTTTTTGTAAATGTACAATATTTATTGACAAACAAATGATTGATGTTGCTCTTTGAATGCATCTTACAATGTTATGGGACTTCGTATGGATAGAATATAAAAAGAGGAGGATTTATGAAGAGATGAGAGAGAGTAACTCTTTTGACCTTGTCAAAATTTCAATAAAAAACACAAATTTCTGAAGTCCACATTCTTTAAAAAAAKACCTCACCTGATATTTTTTACAATTATTCATAATGAACGTTATGGCGAAATGTCAACCTTAACTTTGTTGCCCTGACCTTAATTCAGTCCAAAAYGTGCCGGTGTTTCTGACAACTTCTGATCGATACGGTTTACTTTTTTGTCTACTTCAAATTCATTTTTTGTTACCACCTATAAGCTGAAACCTCTACAAAGCTCATGGATACCCAAACTGGTCAATAAATTTTGATATTAGCTCATCTGATCGGCGAAATTTGACCCAAATGAAGAGATTTACAGCTCTGAATCGCTCCRTCTTTTTGYTGCCCGTCGTCCGCCATTTTGTTTTCGAAGCAATCACAAAATTTCGCGCATGCGCTGTGGTTTTTGAGCCGTGTCCATTGAATTAATTTAAAGTCCAAATTTGAAGGGTTTTTTTATATCAATATAAATAATTGATTTGTTTATATGAATTTCTTGCAAATAAAATACAATTGCATCTTGAAGTAATGGATCTAGAATTGATAAGGTCGTCAAGACGAAACTAGTTTTCTCAATAAACTGCGGGTTTTTGTGTGCGTAAAGGACTGAGTATTGAAACTAGATCCATTACTTCAAGATGAAATAATTTTTCTAGGTCCTTTATTGTCAGAGCTATCAGTATTTCTAAAAAAAACACAACCTCGTTCCCAGGGCTACTCTGCGCCCAGAGATTTTGAAAAAAAGCGAGCAGAATAGCCCTGGGAACGAGGTTGAAAAAAACACAATTGGGATCCCTGTTTAAAAGATATGAGCCCGCGATTTGACGGCTTCAAGAATGCAAAGGCACATGGGATAGGTCTCTCTAATCGTCGGGATTCAAAATGGTAGGTTTGATACAAATAAAGCATAAAAATCCGTCTCCATCCGACTCTTTACTGCATGGATTGAACACTTTTACTGTTATATATGGTAAATAGTTGCATCGCTGTAATATGTCGAGGCTTTTTCGAGATAAGGGACTAATCTTTCGCAATATTTTAGCGATTTCTGATAGACATTCGTAGCAAATGGGGATCACAGAGTATTCTATTCTACGGCGAAGTTTATGTTTTAAAGAATAAAATAAGAAACATATCACGATGCTTTACAGCAATTATGTTTAATGTTATTATCTTATATACTGTACTTTCTTTCACTGCAAAATTATTGAGATTCGAGACATGATCGATTTGCTATTTGTGTTGAAAGCGTTTAATGAAAATTCAATAAGATTGCATTATTTTACTCTCTGTCCACTAGGAAATTGAGATCCTTGAGTGTTTGCTATCTGTTTTTACCTAAATGCATTAATGTATTTTATTGGCGATGCTCTATTTTGAATTGTCTTGTTCCTTGGGTAAGATGTACCCAATAATATTTTGCTTTGAAAAAAAACAATGCAAGGTTTGACCAAGTTCATTTAAATACAAAGCAATTATTATCAAGTTACATGCATCAAAGCTCTATATTTGAAAGCATTTCATTCATAGGTACAGTTAAAGCATAGATACTCTAATACCGGGCTGGATGTGCTAAACTTTAGATATGATAAATACTTTAGATATGATATACTTTAGATATGATATCTAATGGCATTTTGATTTTAAGGGTCGCGTCAGGACAAAGACTGTCAAAAAGGCATCTCGTGTCATCATTGAAAAGTACTACACTCGTCTTACCCTCGACTTTCATACTAACAAACGAGTATGTGAGGAAATTGCTATTATTCCCAGTAAGAAGCTGAGGAATAAAATTGCTGGGTAAGTTGGCAATATAAAATAATAATTTACTGTTTGTCTATAATACATGTAATACCAGCATCTGTTGCCAAATATTTTGAACTCATTTGTTTACAGCAAAAACTCTGGCATTGTGCACTTGTCTTTTTGGTGTTTGTTTAGGATTTTTAATGTTTTTGTGTTTTTAAGTGTACGATATCAATCATTCAAACGACTTTGTCTATGCTATTTACTTACAAGAAACAGTATAAATGCAAAAATGTGTTCAAATATATATTTGGAATCATGTATTTGAACAACTTCTTTATATTAAGTAACAGAAAAACACAAAATGTTGCATACTAAAGAAAAACATCCCATAAAAAATTTCCAGTATCTTTTTCCCTCATTGGTGTTGTTTATGGACCCAAAATAACTCCAACAGCTATCAATCAACATTGTATAGTATTAGTGATATAAGGGAAAAAATATCATTTTTATTTTGCAAAACATCGCAGAATGCTTGTTGGTATGTCATGAAGACTACATGTACATGTAGGATAGAACCTGATATTGTTCACATATTACGTCCAGAAATTAAATTAAAAAAATGCCTTTCAGAAAGAAACATTGCTCATGTAGCAAACATTTCCTATAATTTAGTGATTTTGGAGTACAAAAAGAGCATTAAAAGAAAAATAGAAAGCAACTTGAAGTCTTTATTTTGTTGCCAAATGTCCTTTTCTGTGATATATCTTAAATTTATAGGTGCAATTCTGTACAAACATTACGCTATTATTAGTTAATTACTATTCATTATTCTCAATATTTTGTTTGTATTCTAAAAGATTTGTTACTCATCTGATGAAGCGTATCCAAAAAGGTGCAGTCCGAGGCATCTCTATCAAGCTACAAGAAGAGGAACGTGAACGAAGGGACAACTATGTTCCAGAGGTAATTCAGTCTTTTTGTTTTTTTTTCATTTATTTAGCAAATCATATAAATTTACAATATGTTATGAGAACCATGTGCTATAGAGTGGAATAATAAATCCTGTAAAATTTGATAAAAATAAAACTGAAATAGTCAAATATAAAAAAAACAGTGCCATTAGAGCATACTAAGGTGTATTAGTGTAATATTTATTTCACAGGGTTTTGACATCACTCTAATATGACAGAGAGCTTGGAAAGAAACTGTTTTTTTGAAACATTGGTTTCTTATTTGCTTGGAAACTGTTGAGCAATAGTTGTGATGATGATAATAAAAAGAAAACAAACCTAGCTAGTTTTCCTTTCCATGCAGTTATACTATTTTGGAATCCTGTACTAAGTAAAAAAGTTTTTGGAGTGATAGGGGGCTGCTCATTGGCCATTTTTAACTCCGAGATTGCGTCAGCAATCGAAGAGTTATTGTGGTGGAACGATCTGTCACTCACTAAGTCACTCACTCACTTTCCTGTAAACTTGAGCCTGCGATGTTTGTGTCAGCGGTTATTCATTTAATTATATTAATGTATTCTACTTACTTCCTCTAGTTGGTCTCCCTGTGCTTTTCGATTAATTATTATTTATAATATTTACAT